TGTGCTATGTTAAGTTTCATCCCTAGGTACAAGTATAGTCTTGTCAGTGTGATGTGTTTTACTTTTTTCTGTGTGTTTGCAACAGGTTGGCTGTTAGGAACAGGGCACTCTTCCAAGATGCTGTCTTTTACTAATAAAAAGACTAGCTTTGGGTTAGCTTTAATAGAATGTGGTAACTTATTCCAACTAGTAAGAACATCAAAATATGTGGTCTTATCAATAAATTTGGTTCTCAGCTATTTGCAATAATAGCTTTGCCATGTTTTGTTCACTTTGCCACTGTACTGCTTTGCCTGTGATTTGGTTCAATTTAGTTCAATATTTTATAAATCTCATCGGAAATCTGCTATATGGGGAATAAAAACATAAGGAGACATAATGTACTGTGTACATTTTAGGATAGCAGAATCCAAACGTAATGGTTGAAACTAAAATGATTGCACAGTTTAGCATGCATGCAGTGCAAATATATATTCTTCATTTATAACAATCATGTTAAATCTAAAAACTATAAAAGGCTTTAATGATTCTTGATTATAATGCAAATTTGCAAGCATCCTTGTTCCTGCCAAATTCTACTGAATAGCGGATTCACCTTAAAAATGTTAAATTATCTAAGTACATAAAAATGGGGAAAAAAATCCTACTTTAAGACATGTCATAGTCTATAAACTTGGGTAACGAAAATTGACGACTTCTAAGTTTCGTGAAATGAATGTTGCTGTAAATTGGTTTAATTATTAATATTTATGACAGACAACTTGGCAAAGTGTCCTTAGAAGGGAGGCTTGAATGTTCATTTACAAAACTATCTTATTATATTAACATGGTTTTAGGTAAAAGCATAAACGAGCAGACAGTGAAATCCCATCACCAGTAGCTGATGGATGTAGTTATCACACTAAATATTATCTTCAAAATAATACAGTCTATCGCACTAAAAAAAAAAAAAAAATGGAACCGTTTCCAGGAACATGAATGCTGGCAAAATATCTTGAAACTAAGTGACGATTAAAAATCTTGCTAAGATTCCTCAAGGGAAGGGATATTTGGATGCCTGGTTAAAATCTAGATTTACAATGTCTATGTGTAAAGCTTCACAGAGCAATATACATGAAGGTATCAGGAAGAATTGGTATTACTGTTAGAAGATGGACCACTGTAAGCTTGCCCACCATTCACATAGGATGTCCCCAAACCATACAGATGTCCACAATATTTTGCATCATCTATATTGTCCTCAAAAAACATCTGCAGCAAGTACAAAATAACAATATTATAAATTATCTATTGATGCTGTTCATGTTGAGCCAATGACTGTGTTCACAAAATCATTATCCAACCCCATGAAGTGAGTTGACAGAGGAACCTGATCATGAGAGAAGATTGAGATCATCAGACTCTTAATTCCTGAATTGACTGATTTCTGTTTATACAAATGAAATCCACTTTTGCTGATCTGCCAAGGGCAGATTGGAGCCACCACATACAAGAACTATGGGGTACTATGAATAATTTTCCCTTTCTCATCAATTATCTCTTAGATAATAATATTCTATGAACCTGTCAAGGAATAGAAGCCCTTTCACAAATCCTGACATAGTTCCAATTTACCTCATTTGTATCAAGAAAAGAGTACAAAAATACATCATACCTCTCTCATTCTAAAAAATGCATTTCCAGTTAATAATCTATCACTCCCTGCTTGATGTTGGGGTCCTACTCTTTCAAGCTAAAAACAGAAAGAAAAAGATTACCAAATAAAAATTATTAATATAAGATTACAAAACTTTAATCTGTAAATCGCATGCTTGCTGCAGAGTCTGACGGAATGGAAGAATTACCTTATAGCTCAATGCTACACAAAATAAATTAATATACGTTTCCAGTGTGATCTAAAATATCACATGAAAGGGAAAATCTCTATTCTCTATTTTATTTTACTAATGATTTATCTTTAAATTCATGATTAAAATGCAGTGTCAGAGAACTAAACCAAAAAGTGAGTATAAGGCTTTTTGTAATGCAATCCTATGTGCCATATGGACAGAAACAAGAAACAAGAGCTTGGTACTGACAGCATTTTTTCTGCCAACACCTGAAGTAGGGTATGTGAAATCACATGTATTGCAGATTTGAAGTAGGTAAGGGCTTTTACCCCACATGCAATCACCCCCTCATGCATTTAAATGTGCCTTCAACCCCCCCCCCCCCCTATACCTTCCCCCCAACACACACTTCCTCTTTCCGTGTCAGAACCAAAGATGGTTTTGGCCAGGTCATGTGTATCTTGTGAGAAACTTGTTTAAGGCCAGGTACACAAAGTACTTTGGCCAAATACTTCATCTACTAAATTGAAAAACTTTGTAAAACTACACACCTCTAACAGTTCCGCCACTTCTTGTAGGCCACCTTTTAGGCTCTTGCAACTTTTCATCAAGTATTTTACATCATAAATATTTGGAAAGTATAGCTTCAGAAGGTCAAAGAACTCAGATTCCTCACTTGGTAAATTCTGTGCTGTTAGGACTTTTAGTAGGTAGGCGAAATCATACCCACTACAAACAGAAAGCATTGCCAAGTAATTACAATGTAAAAAGAGAAAATACAACTGGAAAAGTTTAAAGTAAAGAAAAAATCATTTGATCCAATTGAAAATCTTGCTACTGTCTTTGGGACTGTTCTAAGCCAGAGTTCTAAGCCTGATTAAGATATCTAGTGATGGCCAAAAGGTACAAAATTCACATCACTGTTGTATCAAACCCAGTTTCTGTGTTTTCTGAAGGGAAAACACAGAATTTATATCCAGGACAAGCACTTGTAAATGAGATACAAACTCATCCTGATTTGCACAGAATTTTGCATCAGTTTTGATCTCTAGCTAGGCATAAATGATTTCAGATCATAATTTATTCCAAAAAATAAAGTTAAAACAACATTGCAAAAAACTACATATGCATGTGGACATTAAAAAGCCACATTAAAAAATTTGAGTCTGTGTTCAGCTCTGGTGTGACCAACTATTCTTATCTTTGACCTCAAGAATGATTAAAAATGGTCACACCAAGGAAGGTAGTCTTACCTATGAAATGATAACCATTTGACATCTTCATTCAACACAAGTCCTGATGTTATAAGAAGCTCTGCAAAGTCACCCACATCGATTCCATCTTCTTCATGTCTTTTAAACTGAATACCCGCTCGGTTGAGTAAATCTATAGAGTCCTGAGCGTACATGTCCTCCCTATAATAGGCAAACAAAGGCAACCAATTCTGTGATTAATTTAATTAAAACAGTAAGTTTTGTAGCAATATTGATGCAAACAATTCTTTTTTTAACATCACTGGTTGGTGTTTTCTCACTCAATAAATCCTCTATAAATATTGAGAAGTTTTTTGAATTCTTTGGCAATGAAATTAAGCTGAAAGCTAAATGCTGACCTGCCACATCACAGATGGGCTGAAGTGAACTTGAATACAGTAAATAAACAAAAGTCAACAAATGATCCACGCTACCTAGGTGGCTAGCATTTAACTCAACCAGTTTCTGTGACACAAAGCAACTAGTAGTTCCAATCCTTCCTGGATAGAAGTGTTAGTCCATCTCAGCATTATCTGCCAGCATTTGAATTCACCAGTACCCATTTCTTCAGCCTGGAATCAGTGGTTTCATTAACCTTTTCATCAGGAGGGCAACTGGTGTTAACAGGCAGGCAAAACTATTTTAACAGAACTCAGTTAAAAGAAAAACTTTCCTCTAGGGGGTCAAACCAGATGGGCAAAATAGTCCTCAAGGCAGGTCAATTTGCCCAATGCCTAGCCCTTAATGAAACCCCTGGAGTGGAGGTGGAGACACTGTAAAAGCAAAGTGTCCTGCCTAAGAACACCATGCAGTGACACCAGCTGGGGGCCTGGACCGCTGCATCTAGAGTCTAGTGCACTAACTACTAGGCTACCATGCCTTTTACTAAATAAACAAACTCACGTCAAATTAAACTTGAAGTTGAACTGGCAAGTGGCTCCAACTGGTGCTTGCTGTCCCTTCTCATTGTAAAATGATAAACCAAGTTGTATGATCTTCAGCAAGTCCACATTACACCTTAGAAGTTGATATTGATAATCTGAAGTGCTGCGGAACTCTCCTATGGGTCGTGCAACAACACCGGGAAATTCTGTGTCCTAAGATTCAGCAACAAGAAAGTTGTAAGCATTTGTGTGCATCAGCAATGACCAACCCTATTGAATGATAATCAATAAACTGTACTGATAAAAAAAATAGTAACATAATATAGAGAATTTCTTCATCTGGTAACCAAAAGGACCTCATAATTCAAGACATTTCACACCATATTTTCAGTACAACAGGTTGTCTGAACACTTCTCCAGAGGATGGAGTGGAGACACTTTCTACTGTCACCTTGTGCATTCAGTATCAATAATGTTTTGAAAAAAGAAAGCTAAGTAGAGTCTTATTTCTAGGGATTGATTAGGAATCAGGTGTCTTACAACAATTTTACCACACTGTTCAGGTGTGGATCCATACCAGTTTCAACCGTTTTACAGAAGTCAGCCAGATTTTTCAGAATGACACAGAAACCCAGGAAAGGGGACTTTAGGGAGTTAAAATCCAAAACATTTCCAGGGGGAGCATGGCCACAGACCCTTCTAAAAACTTGCGCCTTCAGTGCTTGTTGCTTGAGAATACAGTCCCCATTTATCCTAGATCCACGCCTGCCATTGCTAGTGAGAATCATCATGAAAATGCAATGTTAATGCACTTGCATGACCTGTCTTCCTCAGACAATGTGATCTTCTAAGCAGAATTTGATAGCCAGAGTAGACAAGCTGGATGTCTTATATATTTTGGCTCAGCTGGCTGTTTCCTCTCTAGAGATTGATAACTTAACTTCCTCAAGTGTCATGTAACCCTTTGTCTTGAATGACAGTGTAAAAATAGGAAAGACATGTAATAATTACATATGACAACACTGAGTAAAAGTAGACTAATAAAATCAGGTGCGATTTTCACTGTGATAACCTCAGCATAGTCAATCAAACGTTCAGAAATTTATTGAACTCAATCGAACTCAATTTGTGGATTGAGTTCAATTGAGTTCAGCAATCGAGCCAAATCAAACCCCGAACTATGTGTGAGTTTGATTTCCCAAACCAATTGAACTCAGTCTGACAAATCGAACCGAACCAAACTCAATCCATTAGATTGTGTTCAATTGGGTTCAGCAAACGAATTCAGTTGAACACAATCCATTCAATTGCGTTTGGTGAGTAAATCCACTTGAACAAAGATTACGTTATGTGGTCTTGAAAACACGAAAAACACAAGTTACCGGTATACCAAAGTAACTCAAGCCTTGAAAAACTTGTTATTGATTTTCAACACCAGTTTTACAAAAAAACACAAAGTTCAGAAATCAAAAGTTCGATTTAGTTTGATTGTCCAATTATTTTTGTGTGAGTTTGATTTGGTTCGATTGCCAAGCTCAGTTGAACTCAATCCGTGGATTGAAATACAGTTCAATTGGGTTTGATTGACTATGTTGGGGATAACCATCCCGTTTACACACTAAGGGCAGATTTAGACAGTTTTTCCAACTTTGTCGCAGGCAACAAGCTTACAACTGAATCTTTTGGGTGTGTGAATCAAACCTAAATCCTGCTCAACATTGTTTTGTACAACAACAAAAAATTGTTATAGGAGATCTATAGAAGCATGCTTTAAAATCCTGAGACAATTGCAATATCACAAACATTGACCTGATTTTTTGCATTAGCCAAGCAGTACAAGCAACAAAATTTCACTGTCCAAATCAGCCCTACGTTAAATTATCAATTCCCAGTAGAAAACCAATGCTAGATGATCTATCTAGCTACCCACTACCAGCCTCTTGTGTGAAAACAGTCATCACACAAACTAGCTTCTATTTGGCTAAAACAACAAACCTTAACATCCTTACCATAGCAACATAAGGGTAGTTTTCTACTATGTCTCGAATTTTGGCGAACTCTTCTTCCATGTTATTTTTCCAGACATCTCGGATGTTGAAATTCGTCACGTTGGATGGCATTTTGTTGTAATCACTACGAACCAACCAACACTCTCACCCTGGGTTAACTCAAGCGGCCTCTATGCATACGTAAATCCACTTTCGCTCCTTGCAGGATAGTCCCTGCACTCCGAGAGACACGATCTAAAACATAACGAACACAAAGACATCCAAATAAAATTGCAGCACCGAGTTGAACAAATTCGATTCGCATGCTGAAGTGATGATGATGTTGTCGCGATTAAATTAGAAAAAGTGCTTACTTTCAACCTTCAAACACCGTCCTCCCTTGTGGAATCCCAAACTGGCTAAAGTGCAAAACTAAATCCAAAAAATATTGAATTGAACGCATCCAAATGTTACTCTCTTTCAGTTTCTCGTTCGTATACACAAAATGGCGGACTGCGCATAATTCGATTCGTCAATGGCGCATTCATTTTTGAGGAAAACCGCAATAATTAACTCTCCTTGAGATCTGGGAACGAACTGGAGTCACGACCTGTCGCAAAAGAAAGGTTTGGCGGGAACGGGAGAAACTTTTGTAAGTATCTCGTTTAATTAAGGTGTCTCCATAGGGTAATCACTTATGGCGTTGCGCACGCAAGTATTATGTTTTCGCTTTCACACCTAGTCCTCTCAAACTTATTACATATAATAAGCAATGATTAAATAGTATTTTGCTATCATCTCTGTTAAAATTTTGGGATTTAGTCTTTAATTTTAAATGCCCAAACAAATGTGTTTTTTACTGTTTTTATGGCTTTATTTGTGATTTTCATGAATTTTCTTCGGTGAAATCTTCCAAAATTTTTACATCACATCGCTTCCAGTGGTGAACGAATTTTAAACACGAAAAAAGTAGGGTTTGTAAAGGCAGTTTTTTTCGATATTTTCAAATTTATGTCTCTTACCGCTGCAAAAAATCTGGTCGTATAGATTTCCCTGAAAAACGAGCTCCGACTAAAGTAAAATATTTACTACCAATCTGCTAAATTTAACGGAATTTCACCGAAGGAAACGCGAGAAAATTCACTGTCAGTTTTGTTTTTTGTGTTCATGTTGACGTAATAAAATATCGAAAAACACTGACGTTTTCCTTTGAGCGCGCGCAGATTACTACCTCAGCGCTCGTGCGATCGTAAAGCTATAGGGAGCCACCTTAAGCTTATAGACTCATAAATTTTTTAACTGGCACCCGGTAATTCTTAGGGTTAGGGTTTAGCGTTGAGCGTCGTGGAGAGTTTTATGGCCAAGCTCGAGTTTCTCCACTCGACTTCTGGGGGTGAGTAAGAGGAATGGCATGCACTCAATTTAGGGCTCCTGGACTGATGCGATATTCCTATTAGGTTAGACTTATCGAGCTAAAAATGTAGTTTTATTATACCTCACTCGAGGGAAAACCGCTATACTTTAAGACAGATTGAGGGCCCCAAACTCAAAAAGAATTATGCTAGGACAGGAGCCGGACGAGTGTTTTTCTGTTAACATAGTTATTTTAATAGAACTGCAGACAGGTGGAATGTTCTTCCGTTAGCCGTCCGCACAACTCCAACTTTGTCTTCTTCCTTTAAAATAGGCGTTAAAAATTTCTTACTGTGATTGATTGTGATATTCAAAAGACTATGATCTAGAAAATCGTCTCTTGTCATACTAGATCTTGCAAGCCTCTGGCGTCTAGAGACAGCATATCATAGACTGCTCTGAGCTCCTGGATGCCGTGTAAAGCCTGAAGAGTTTGCATCCAAAATAAATTCAAAACTTATCTGGCTTTCTGGCAGAGTTATTGGCAAATGACCTCATCATTTATGCAGGCAATCACGCAACTGGGCGTCAGAGGTCTCTAGCGATACATTAGCTCCATAACTGACGATAACAAGGTCATAACCACTGGAAAATCCTTCGTGATTACATCGGCCTTTATTTATTTTTATCAGTTCTATTGCTTTAAATTACTTTTTAGCAATGGCCAACTCTCTCTAGGAGACGCGCCTGCAGGGTTTAGGGGCAGTTGTATTCATCAAAATAAACATCCAGTCCAAGGTGACGAATACAACTACCATGATTCCCTGCAGGCGCGTTTCATAGAGGGAATTGGCCATTTTGAGCTTTTTAGGAGATTTATACTTGTAATCTAATTCGACCAGATTAAGCTGGCATGTATATTACCCTTTTGAATATTTGAGAAAAACATTGTTGTTTTGGAAATTTTATTTTTGATTTATTATATGAGGAACTTTTCATGTCACCTAATTTTTAAATTACTCTTTCATTTATTTTACTTATTACTGTTATAGGAAACATTGTGTAGGTTTTAACTAATTCATTTTTTCTTATATAGTAATGTGAGCGCATTGAGTTTTCTAAATGTGCCCAAAACACTTATTATTATTATTATTATTATTATTATTATTATTATTATTATTACCATTAAAAACATCATCACCAGCACCATCATCAACATCATCATCATCATTATCATTATCATTATTATTATTATCATTATTATTATTATCATTATTATTATTATTATCATTATTATTATTATTAT